ACAGAATCTCCATAGCGAACAAAACTGTTATCTAGTAAAAATTCAAGTGCAGTTATCGTATCAAAGCAGGTCCAATTGACATAGTTCTTTTGTTTGTTGTTACTAAAAAATTTCCTAAAAGAGTTTGAACATATATATTCGCATTCTGACTTTTTAAATGCCCATTTAATTAGGTTAGTGAATTTTTACTTAATGAGATTATGAGGCAAAGTGATACATAGGGTAGAAAAATCAAAACTTTGAACAGATACGAAATCATCAATATAAGCATGCAATTTATCAAGTACTTCCAACGAATTTTAGACACTCCAAAAGTAATTAATTCCACTATTTTGAAAGACCTTATTTGAACAATTTATTACCAGGTTTTTGATTGTACCAAGTGTACTAGTAAGTAGAATAGATAGTTTAGTAGTGGAACAATTGCTTGAAGACGAAATAAATTTATATTTGTAAGATGTTTTGTGCAGCTTCGGAAGCCAGTACATAGTTGGAATTTTCATTGTATTTGGTTCTGCTTGTTAAGAGTAGCTAAAAATTTATGTTTGTTACAGATGTCATTTTCCGAAAATGGAGTCAGTTGGAATGTTGGTGAATTCGTGATTTCCCTTTGCAGAACCTCAATGTAAAATCTGCGTCAAACAATAATGATATTATTGGCAGTCTTATCAGCCGGGACAAAAACAAATTCCTTGGCGAGTTTTTTTTTAGCTTATGTTTGATACGAGAAATAGGGCTATTATGGTTGTTGTTAGGAGTAAAATGTTCTTTCAAATGTTTAATACGAATATCAACTATGTTCATTACTGAATTAAAAAAGAATCTAAGGATTATTTGTCAGCTTTTTCTCGTTTTATCCATTTCGTGCAGTAAGTACGGAGTGAGTCGTGAATGATGTTACGACACTCATTCCATTTAATAATTGACGGGGGGTGATATTTAGGTCCTTTACTGAGGAATGATTTCAACTCTCGGTCATGGACGATGTTAAGGTCTCCTGTTATAAAATGGGAACTGGGGCCATAAATGTATTCGGAATTACTGCAATTTCATGACGTAGGTGTATTGTCACTGATATTAACATCTTTACACACTTCGCTATAATTAAACACATATTTCCGGGTAGATTTTATATTTACCATTATGAACGTTTGCAATATTCAAAACTCAATTTAAAATGGTTTTTATCATTCTATTCTCGTTTTCATTGATAAAAATTAGGCAAACAATAGTACTAGTGATTTTTTTCTTTTGCTCTTTTATATTAGCGCTGTTTTAAAGGTTATGACCAGGAACCCTCTCGTTTGGCTATTTGACCACAAGTCAATTTTTAGACATACATTTTGGCTAATTTCAGTTGATGCTTTAAATTTATATACAATTCACTCGACTTTCCTTTATTAGTTTTGAGGATAGATGTTTCCTACTTGGCACTTGGTCCTTTGAATTGGCCTTTTCCATTAAATGTATGAAATATTTGCTGTCTACCACTGAAAAAGAATAAAGTCACCAGCAACAAATAGTACAAGGGCATTTTTTATTTGTGTTTGCCTTACATCAGATTTTTCATAATTTATTCTTTTCTTAAATTTAGTATTTTTTTTTATCCAGCCATACTGGATCTATGTGATCACTCTGGATATTCAGATGGTGCAGAATTCTGAGTTGAAGACATAATTATCATGAAATTAAAAATAATAAGTTTTTAACATTGATAGTGTTTGAAAATAGGCAAATATACAGTTTGCTTGATTCATATATACATTATAATGTAAAACCAATTTCCTTTGTATATTTTACCATTTCCATCTATTTGACTTATATTCTATCATATCATGACATTATTATTTGATTCCATTTCTTATTTTTATGGAAAAATATTTTGTTGTTGTTGTAAAGATAGATATATAGATACAAATGAATATGTTCTACTCTTAAATTATTTTTTTTTAATTTCAAGTTTTTACTAAAAAGATTTAATTGACATTTTCAAGGTTTTCTTACGTGACGCTCGTATGAGTCACAAAATTTTAAATAATCGACAAGCTTCTACTTATTACAGAATAGCAATGGTAGCATTTTGCTTTAAAATTTACAGACTTGTCGTTTCTCAAGTAAAAATTGTCAAGCATTCTTGTATGCATCTAAAATATTGTAGAAAGATTTTAGCATACAAATATGTTCATAGGTTGCACTGTGTTTCACAAACCACGCCTCTTTTGGGGAGCAATCTAATATTCATAGATATTTTGTTTTGTTTACCTACTGGTTCCCATATATGATCTTTATGCTTCATCTCGTAGAGACACAACTTGCGAATGTTACCAGTATAAATACACATGGATAGCGGCCAAATTGAATTCTGACGAAGACCCAAAGTGAAGGGAGGGGTAGTACAGAAGTTTAGTATAAGTTTAAACTCTTAAAAGTTCGAGGCATATAAATGTTGAAAATATGCCGCACAGCCCTATGTTTTGACCTTTGAAAAAAAAAGTAGTGCATATAAACTTTCCATTCTAGGATATAATCTTTTACGAAACTTCATAGTAAAAGTGGCACAGTTTTAGACGTAAAAGGAGTTCCTATGGGAAATTGCATTGTCTATATTTACAAAAGTGCAACCTATGGGCATATGACATTTGCGCCAATTTTGAAAATATTCTTTTTTTCATTTGCGCCAAAACAATGTTTTCATTTGCGGCAATTATTAATTTTTCATTTGCGCTAATTTAATTTGAATAGGTGAGATCTTGTACATTTTAGATAATTACCGTTACTTAGGTTAACCGAACGTAGCAGGCATAAGTGGTGTTCAATGAGTACATGTCTATGTTATATGTACATGTACATACATAATGAGCTCATTGATTTAAACACTTCTGTTTTACATTTTATGGATGTCATAAAGAAAAACTGATGTAAAAATCAGATCTCTCGACATGGCAGCACCGTAAGAAAACATGAAAAGGAAAAAAAAAGTATCGGATGTATAGTAGAGAAGAAATCGCAAGGTCGCAGTTCACCAGAAGTGTTGCATAACAATACTCAGCTAGGAAAGACTTGTAAATGTGCAAATGTGCTTTTGACGATAAAATGTTACTTTTTTATTAAAAAAGAGCGATTTTAAGTGTGATGTATACAGTTTTAGAAACTTTTGCAATAAACTTATCCTACTCGAAATCGCACTTCCACCTCCCCGTGGTGAGCAGGGGGTAGATGGCAGAAGGAAGAGGTATTTTTGTTATAATATCAATATACAACTTATACGTCTCATGACTTGTGTTTACCTGTAAATTGGCGCAAATGAAGAAAAAAATTGGCGCAAATGAAAAAAAAATTTAGCGCAAATGCAAAACGCCGCAACCTATAGGATAAAAATTTTCCTTTGACATTTTAATTAAGGGACATTCCTATACTTTGAAATTAGGGAAATCCTGAGGTTAAGATAAAGGTTAATTGTTAAAACAACATACTTACAAATTGTATGTAAATCAGGTCAATAATTTGGTATTGTTTATTATTTCTTAGATTTTTTATGTATGTGCAAAATTAATTAATGAATTAAATGAATAAAGATTATAATACATTTATAATGATTTATGAAGTATCAAGGGATGTTATGAATATATTCCTTTTTTTCAACATAATAAATGTTTATAAGGTAGAACAAAATCAAAGTACCTACCATGTGCATACTAAATGTAGTAAAACACAATGTACAAGTGCATGATGTGTTAGAGCATCAGAAAAGCCCAAAAATGTAAAAATGTCCCACCAAATATTTTAATGTACTTGAAAGTAATTGAAAAGTAATTCATAATTACATGGGAAAAAGGCAGTGTAATTAATTACTTTAAAAGAGGGACGAGAGAAAAGAACTTTAAATTACATGTAATTGAAAAAAAATCAATTACACATTACATTGAATTACTATAAAATTTGTAATTAATTACAGCTAATTACAATTACATTTTTTAATACCCCAGGTCTGGTTCTAAAAATTCCTACTTGACAATGGTATCGGGATTTGATTGAGTGCCCTAAGGGAGTGATCCTAAGGAGGTCTTAAAAGAGAAAACATAAATTATCCTTGTACTCTTCTTACGCGTAATAAGATATGATCATTAGAACTGGCATGTAAGTGACACTATAAGATTTGTCTTTGTCGAAGATTCTGAAATTTTGATATTTACGCTGAGACAAAAATTATGTAAAACTATTTCGAGTGAAAATATTGTAAAAGTGTTAAAACCGTTGATAATCGACACATTACTTACATTGCATTTATGAATTTTACGCTAAATTCCGATGATACCATTAGCTCAACAAACCTTTCTTTAATTCTACGTTGGTGAATCAGAAATTTGTAAGAAACTAAGGTTCCAACTCCTCCAGGCAAAGTTGACAATAGATGGATATTTGCTATTCTTTTACGGCCCCTTTCGGTCATATATCTCCTCGCGCATTTAAGTGCTTATACAGCCTTTGCTTCCAAATTTTGGGTTTGACAGTTCCTGATGGTTAATCAATAAAAGCGCGTCGGACGTACCAAATTCACACAGTGTTATTTTCATTTTCTAGCACTTGGTCCATATTGCTGCTGGTCGACTGCTAGATCCCGTGGTATCCTAAACTATTGAGAAAGTAAGGTTCCAACTCAAAGTAAACCTTAAATTGATTCAGCTTTTTATGTACCTTTTGGTCATTTACAAAAAGTTGACCTTTTAATAGGTGGATTTGGCTAATCGTTCCTAATAAAGGTAAACTGGAAAAGCGCGCTCCAGGTGCATCAAATTTTTCAAGTATCATTTTCATTCTATAGGTGATGTTACAATTTTGTACGGCCAATCATTGGAAGTAGGGATGATAAAACGAATATTTGATGTCGCTCTTATTTGTAGAGAATGAGTAAGCTCATTTTAATGAGGAAGGTGGTTACTCTAACAAAACTTTATTTTAAGTTATCAACTGATGTTTTCCGTTTAAGTCAGTCCACTTACCGTCTACTTTCAGCAGAAGTGTACTTTCTATTTTCTTTCCGCCATAGAATGTATAGCAATTATATCCAGCCTCGTCTTCATATGATATATGTTTGATAGTCAAGTAAAATTCATCAACTGTATCGTCCCCCGACGATGAGTCATGACTGGCTTCATATTTATTAGAATCTTCCGGTGTAGGGTTATACATGCTAGTGATATGTTTAATATTTCCTGGTCCTTTCATCCTTTCCCAATAGGTCTACAATATTAAGAATGTTTTATTATACTGTGGATTCATTATTTTTCGTTGGATACCAATTTTCATTGATTTCGTGGGAACAGCTGAACCACGAATTTAAATGTTCAACGAATTCCAAATTTTCCATTGGCCTGTATGCAGACTATGGTAAAACCACGAAATTAAATATCCACGAAAGTGTGAGTTTTTCTCAATCCACGAAAATTGGTACCCACGAAAATAAATGAATCCACAGTATGTAGTGCACCAACTTGAAACCTCCCTAAACACCTTGGACATTTTACATAAATTTATACATATAACTCACAGCATTAGACTGAGTTGTCGTAGAAGAACTTTTCTTTAACCCTTATTAAAAGTTATGAATATTACAAACCTTATCCATTTTTCCAACCTTTCGGTGTTCCGATGTAAATGATAAAGTTTGAGATTTGGTCAGTTTAAGGGTAACCATTTATGATTAGTCAATGATATTTGGTATATATGCAGTTGCATCAGAATCATTTTCATGGAGATCATTTGTCTCCGCCCCCTCAGTAATGGTCTATTGACTTTCAACAATTTCATAGTTTGAATTTTAAAGTTTGTGATTAGGTCAGTTTAAGGGGAACCACGTACTATTATGATAAATAGTCAATGGTATTTAGCATGCAGTAGTATTATCATTGCCATATCTTATATCTCAGAAATCATTTGGCCATGTTCCTTCAGTCATGGTTCATTGACTTTGGGTATTTTGCATAATATACATGTTAAAGTATTTCTATTTTAATTTCAATATTTGCATTTTACTATCAAAATTATAAATAAGCCAGACAAATCTCTTTGTCAATAGTTTGTTTGTTTTGGGAAACTGTTTTTTTTTCTCTATAATTTCTCTATAATTTTTGTATCTGTATAATCCGTTGCTCATTTATGTCAAATGATGATATATGTATTGTTTACGGCTCAAAGAGTCGTGCGGAAACAGAAATGTAAACTTCTGGTTCATCATTATAAAAGCTAAGTTTGACTTATTATCCTGCAACCTGGCTAATATTTAAGTACACATTTCTTTATTTTATATGTATATTGACATATAAAAACATACTGCACAATTCTCCCTATTTGTTTTAACTAGTGTTGTCAAAGGTTAACTGATTAACTTGTTAACCGTTGGAAGGGCCGAATATCGATTACCAAAAACGCTAATCGGTTAACCGGACCTTTTTCAATTTTAATAGATTCGATATAAATGTGTATTGCAGTCATCAAATTTGAATTTTTTTTGAATTTGACAAATCAATTGTCCAGAATTTGATTGCTATTCAATTACTTTGAAAACATTACAATTTTACAGAACTAATTAGCACAAAGACAACTTGTCTATCAGCTTGGGGCAAGATCTAAAGTAAACATAATTATCGTACATGTATTTTGAACTATTATTAGATGATTTGATATTACTATTTATTTCATTATTTTACTTTTGATTCAATATTGCGTAAATATGCCAATTCCATCGTCCAAGGCTTTGTCATACTTTAAACGAAATCCCGACTCAAAAATTCGGAAATGCAAATTATGTCAATGGAAGTAACGTATACTGGATGGTACAATTAACATACTTAATCAGTTAAAATTTAAACGCCCACAGAATTTTCATACTTTGTCAATTCGCCGAGATCAAGACGATTTTCATCTTCTCAATCTGAAGTTATTACAAAAGGCACTGAAGATATGGTAGTATTGGATTATTAAAATTAAAACTTCACCAGGAATTCTTAAAGCCAAGCCTTATAATGCCCAAGAATAAACTTCAATTCATCGTATCATGCACGAAGCCGTGCATTTGAGGACTACTGTTAAAAAAGCCCTTACACATCAACTTAACTATCGGTTAACCGGTTAATCGGTCGAAAGATTATCCGATTAACCGGTTAGGCAAAACTGTTCAATTTGACAACACTAGTTTCAACATATATGTATATCTTAAACTAAGGATTTTCTTATTCCAGGAATAGATTACCTTAGCCGTATTTGGCACAACTTTTTGGAATTTTGGGTCCTCAATGCTCTTCAACTTTGTTCTTGCTTGGCTTTATAACTATTTTGATCTGAGCGTCACTGATGAGTCTTATGTAGACGAAACGCTCGTCTGGCGTATTAAATTATAATCCTGGTACCCTTGGTAACTTTTTACACCACTGGATCGATGCCACTACTGGTGGACGTTTCGTCCCCGAGGGTATCACCAGCCCAGTAGTCAGCACTTCGGTGTTGACATGAATATTAATTATATGGTCATTTTTATAAATTTCCTGTTTACAAAACTTTGAATTTTTCGAAAAACTAAGGATTTTCTTATTCCAGGAACATATTACCTTAGCCGTATTTGGCACAACTTTTTGGAATTTTGGGTCCTCAATGCTCTTCAACTTTGTACTTGTTTGGCTTTATAACTATTTTGATCTGAGCGTCACTGATGAGTCTTACGTAGACGAAACGCGCGTCTGGCGTATTAAATTATAATCCTGGTACCTTTGATAACTATTTAAACCACTGGGTCAATGCCACTGCTGGTGGACGTTTCGTCCCCGAGGGTATCACCAGCCCAGTAGTCAGCACTTCGGTGTTGACATGAATATCAATTATATGGTCATTTTTATAAATTTCCTGTTTACAAAACTTTGAATTTTTCGAAAAACTAAGGATTTTCTTATTCCAGGAATAGATTACCTTAGCCGTATTTGGCACAACGTTTTGGAATTTTAGGTCCTCAATGCTCTTCAACTTTGTACTTGTTTGGCTTTATAACTATTTTGATCTGAGTGTCACTGATGAGTCTTATGTAGACGAAACGCGTGTCTGGCGTATTAAATTATAATCCTGGTACCTTTGATAACTATTGAAATTTTACACATTTGGATTAAAACCTGATGTTGTGTTTTAGTCTCATCAATAACCAAAAATGCTGAAAATCATGATACTCAGTTGTGGATCAAAGGTGGGCGCAAACAAAATAATTGTCGCATCAAAGGAATTGATCGCTCATTTAAAATGCATTCGCGAAGACAATAAATCCGTGTGCACAAAATTTGGAAAAAAATATGTGGACAAGTACAAAACCAGACGACGACGGAAGTTATCATCCATAATTGATGGAGCTTGTCGAACACTTTAACCACAGACAGGGTCCCACTTTCCAGCTCAATTTGGAATTCGACTTAATCTTTGGCCACACGCCACACGGAAACCGGTGAATACAGATATTTTCGTCTATTCGCCAATAAATCTCTGTTCGAGCGTCCCATCTATATTTCCCAACGCAAGTATTTGAAACGTCTCCGTCTCCAACGCTTTAACGTGACGGACTACAGCTTGAAAAAGAAACCCGATACCAAGCGAAAACCGGACGGTACCTAGTCATCAACCCGTTCATGCTCTATCATTTGATGTTTCCGAAGTATATCTTTACATCAAAATCTATCGTCGCCTTAGTCAAGAGACAAGATGGTCCCATTACAAAGATCATCACTGCGCCGTCCAATGACTCGCCGTACACCACAAACGACGCAAAGATTGCTTGGAAACAAACAACAAAGTCCTGTTCGAGAGATTGGTTCAGTTTGACAATCACCTGGACGTGAACGATGACTCGATAAAATACGAAGAACTTCCGTTACATCAGATGACTTACTTCGAAATTTATTTCAAATCCAACGTCAACGTATACCAGTTAAGAGACGACGGTGTCGCCATCACCGTTTACCAAATTTCTCAAAGACCAAGTAAAGATTCCCGGACGGATTTCAGTCCAACCCATAATCCGCTCTGACAAATTAGAAGTACAGATTATCAACGTGCATGACCGGATAATATAAATGGTTCGTTATGTACGATTTCGAGGTCATGGTCATTCCAATCGAGAAGTCCAATTCGGAGAAACTAACGAAGACTCGGGGAGGATGAACCCATTTCCGTCTCCGTATGTAGCAACGTAACCGATCTCACCAAACCAAACTGCACTGTCGAGTCCGACGTCTACACAATCGTTCGTACGATGGTAGACTACATGACGACGATCAGCGACAATGCCTACGAATTGTCCTAACACAAATTTGCTGACGTTTTCGACCGTCTGGGTCAAGATATCAACAATCCATACAGAGCCCTCCTCAAAGGCGACGATGAAGACGAATATAAAATCGATGCTTTTCTAGACGACAAGGAACTGATGAAAAAGTCTATAAAAAACTAAAGAAGTGTTGGACGACTACTGCCGCCAAACCATCCTTCTTGGATTCAATCGGTTAAAATATCTGGCCAAACGACTGGAGATGCACGAAACGGAGAAAAATTATTCGTTAAACACAACAACAGCTACGCCTGCTTGGCCAACGGCACCTTCAAGTATTTAGACACCACGTCTTACTTGGCACCTGGGGTCAGTTACGCTAAATTTCACAAAGCCTTCGACGTCAACAAAAATAGAGATTTCTTTCTGTACGAATGGTTGATGGTATCGACAAGATAAATTATCACAAACTTCCAACGTACAAAGCCTTCAATAGGTCTATCAAAGGAGTGCGTCTTCACTCCGAGGTACTACGCTATCTGCCAATACATATAGCGAGACAAAAACATGTCATCATTTATGGATTTTCTCGTCTTGTACAACAATTCAGACTTTTCGTTCAAGCCGTACAAAATCTTCAAAAGTATTATTTCGAAAGAGGAATCGACATCTTCAAAAACAAGCATATTCGTACCGGGACTCGCACGCCGCATGATCTTTGATACTGGACGACATCAATGAAGCGAAAAGTGCCCTCTACTTTTTAACAAAACTTGACCGGTGCACCGTCCATTATCATTAGGCAGCAATACACAGTTAGGAGTCGCATTTTGGCCCCGGTGAAGTTTTCAAATATGAAAGTTATAGTTTTTTGCATGTTTTATATGTCATTTTCTGTTTGACAGTGTGTATTTTCACATCCGTACCGTCCATAGGTCCAGAA